TCTCCAGTGAAATAACAAGCGTATCTAATATCGTTTACTTTTCTAAGGTTACTTAAATATTTATGAGCTAAATGGTGAGTTTGAGTAGGATCTCCGAATAAAATAACTGTTTTTGCGATTTCTCCTTCGTTTGCAGTATTATGTAATGTTGCCATAAATGGTTGGGGACTATAAAAAAACTAATTTTTTATAAATTTTGCAGATTATATACTATTTTTAGAAATTTTGAAATTTTATTTTTCTGTTTAACCCTTAATATCAAAGGGAATTAGCTTAGAAACAGGGGTTAGGGAATGAAAAGTTTCTTGTAGTTATTATTTTAAATTAGTCCTCAAGTCCAGCGTTTAATACAATTTCAATAGCTTTACATCTCATATCCATATGTTTTTCTGCAGCTAATAAAACAGGCATATTAGTTACTGGATCGCGAGTACCAACAACTGCTGCTAAAGCTGCTGCTTTTTTACCCATCATATCGGCGTAAAAGAATAAAGCGTAAGATTCAAATTCAGCTAACTTAACTCCAAATTTAGTTGCCATATCATCAGCAGTCATAGGAGCATAAAGAACATCTTTACAGTAGGATCTACCTTCTGGAAGGTCATATCCTAGTTTTTTAGCAGACTGTCTTAGTTTCTCTGTTAATTCTTCGTTAGGTTTTAAATAAGGCATAGATTTACCATCATAGAAAAGATCAGGTAATAAAGTATCTTCAGTAACTGATTCATTAATTAAAGCTGTATCCCCTAAAGCAATAGTATCTGTATAAGATCCACAACTACCTACTCTAATAATTCTTTCTACTTTGTAAACGTCATATAATTCGTGAATGTAGATTCCAGCGGATCCTACTCCCATTCCGGAAGTACCGAAAGTATAAGTTTTGCCTTTATATTCACCTGTAAAGTAACAAGCGTATCTAACATCACTTACTTTTCTGACGTTATCCAGATATTTGTGAGCTAAGTGATTTACATGAACAGGGTCACCTATTAGAACCACTGTTTTAGCTATTTCTCCTAATTTAGCTGAAATGTGAGGTGTCACGATTATCAGTCTTCTAATCCTGCATTGAGGATTATTTCTACAGAAGGTTTTCTAATATCGATTTGTTCTTCTAAAGATAATCAGTTGGGTTTATCTCCGTATAGTGTATTAACAACAGTTAAAAGGCAAGCTGCTTGTTTTTTGTATAGAGCTGCGTAGAAGAATAGAACATAGGATTCCATCTCAACTACATCTGCCCCTGTTTTCTTTTGCATTTCTTCGAATGACTGTTTGAAGTAGAAAAC